ATTATTTTGTAATAAATAAAATGTGTAATTTATTAACTTTGTCAGTAATTAATCAGCATCAGTATGGTTGAACATTAACCTGTTTGGTTCGAAAAGAAGACACATGTTAAAGGACAAGAGAATGCACTTAAAATCGACTGTGATGTTAGAGCAGGTCATATTTTTGCATCTATATATGCAGATCTTAAATTCTGTGACTCTACCAAATGAGAGAATGATGCTCTGTATTCACATAATTGCATGATTGTGAATTCCTTGTTTTCAAACCAAGAAGTATTACAATTTACATTTGCAAATAGCTGAATCTCCATAAGAACTGTGGCACTGATACTGCAATAGAGCAGGTCAGAATGACTGCAAGTGACCAAGGAGGAGGAATATACAGTATAGTGCTACATCTAAAAATTATGTTAAATGTAAATTGCTTGGCACCTTTTAAACGCACACAGTATCTACCCTGTCCCCTCAGCAAAAGGGGTTTTAAAATAAATTTCTGCTGGGTTCATGATGATAATTTTTTGTTTTCAAGACTTCATTAAATCATTTTAATACAGTCATTAAAGTATTAGATTATTCATTTACAATGGCCCTGCCAACTTCTTTTTGAGCTTATGAAACAGTTTCAGGACCCTAAAAAAACTTCCTAATGTTTTTTTTTTAAAGTTTTCCCTTCCCAGTGAAAGTTGGGACCTCACAAACTTACCACAAACATCCACTTCAAATTGGCCAATATAAAGCAAGTTCCATCCACAAAACCCACACACACGTACAGTACATACACTATAACGTTTTGGCCGTGGAGCCTTCTTCAGGTGACACCTGTTCTCTTTCTTCTTTTTTTCAGCATGGAATAAACCTATTACTTGTTCCTTTGCAGCCTACACATGCTGACGCAGCTACCCACCTGAACTACATATACTATATGTACACTATATATTAACATACTGTATATATAATACAATAAGCTTGCAGGACTCTTTCCTAATGTATAACAGTAGTAAAATTTGACAATGACTTGAAAATAATTCAAAGTATTGTCCAGTGCTTGAAGGTCCATAATTACTGATGCTGACAATTTTACTCTTGATTTAAAGATGGTTCGTGCCTATATTTTCTTATTTCATGTACACTTCTCTTTTAAAGGAACCATTGTTGAAAACTGCTTTGGACTCGGGTCTCAAAATGATTCATTTTTTTAAAATTAGATCATGTTCCATTATCCCTAGGGTTTGGCTGAAGTGGGTCTATTGTGGTTTGGCTTAGAATTAGAATGGACTAAAAGTCTAGCGACATGTTCACTGTAACAGGTGATTCAAGAGGTCTGTGACCTTTCTGGGGGCCCTGTATTCTTAGCTAAACAATTGTACACTAATGTAGACTCTATTGTTGTAGAATAATTTTCTGAGCTG